ATCATTGCAGAAATTTACTTTTGGTCTCACCCAGTAAACTGCAGATTCTGATCTTAACATATTTCTCACGTATAGGCGCACTCCAGCTTTCACTCAACTGCATGCTACAGTGCGTCTTGTGTCAGGCACATTGTGCCTCACGCCACTCCTGTCGTTACCAATACTCAGTAACATTGCTTCCCCTCATCTCCACCTCACAAATGCTGAAGTAAACTTACTAGCCAGACTCCAAGATAATCCTACGCTGCTAGTGCATTGGAACATATTTCACCCACCAATAGCTCAGCTCCCCTCAAGGTGCCCAATATGGTCCACCCTTTCAAAACCTTTTGACTTTTTCTTACTTACTCACTGGCATGAAGAATGGTCAGCACAAGCACCAATTAGTCACCACATTATCTCTGACCCTACACTCAGTGAACCAGGATTTAACTGGCCATGCCATTATTGGGCACTTCTCAACCGTTTTTTAGCTGGGAAGGGTCACTGTCTGAAATCTATACCAATGGGGGTTCACAATGATAATAAATGCCCTTGTGGACCAAGGGCAAACCATGTCCCATTTTGTTGACTTGTGTCCATTTACAATGCTATCTGGTGACCGTCAAGCTCTTCCCACTGGTGATAACATCGCTGTTAGCTGAAACAATATGTTGAAACCACATATGCTAAATAACATTTTCAGCAGCTGTTCTGTATGTGTTGTATGTGGAAAAAATGATACCACCAAGCTACACTTAACTTACCTTGAGTTGTATTGAACCCTGTGCAAAATGCTGCAATTAGTGTCACTTGGAAACACAAATGGAGGAAGAGAAAAAACAAGGGGTGCTGGTGTCAAAATTGTGCATATATGTTCATTTCACATCACAAGCTTCATCAAAATTACTACCAGCAGGTCACTTGCTGCTTCAGGCACAAGCTACAGTGCTCAGTCAATAGCTATGGCTGTGACAGGGGTTAACACAGGGCTCCACCATTCTAGCAGCTGTATAACATGAACAGTGTCTCTAGGCATGCTTCTTTTTCAGTGAAGAAAACAGCTTCCCTGCTTAAAATATGTACCCCAATGTTGGGAGGCTTATTTTGTATTGTATATGAGAAAATATGATAGTCTATAATGGGACATTCTCCACTCCTCCTTATGGGGTGGGAAACTAGGCAGAAAGAAATGTGAGAGAGAGAGCAAGCAGGGCAGAACATAACTTGAGCTCAGTGAAGCCAGCCACCTAATTTTTAGGCACTGCAGAGAGCCATCTGATTGATGTTTCAGAATATAGCTGTGTATAGGAGGTGTTTCTACTTGGTTCCATGGGGATTGCTCTTAGGTCTAACTCTATTTAGCATTTTGTCAACAATGTGGAAGTAAATATAAAACCACTACTGATAAAATTTGCAGATGACACAAAGATTGGCAGAGTGGTAAATAATGATGACAGGGCAATCATACAGAGGAATTTGGATTATAAAATGTACTTGGCTGTATTATAATGCAAACTTGAATCTAGGAAGAAAAATGCAGCCCACTTCTTACAGGATACAGGACTGTATCCTAGAAATCCATGGCTGTACTACACCCTTTTTTCTCATGGTAAACATACAATTCAACATAATTCCCCTACAGCAACACTAGCCAAAAAGAATAATGTGGTCCTTGGATATATAAACAAGGCAGTCATGACTAAGAGTCGACTTCTAATTCTGAAGAAGACACTGGTGAGACAACAGAACATTGTGACATGGCCGATACCCACAGTTTAAAAACAATGCTCAAATATTATAGAGGGATATAGAAGAGGGACACACAATGACACAAGGGATGGAGAAAATGCCTTACGGTGAGAGATTTAAAAAGCTCAGTCTGTTTAATTGTCCGAAAGGAGGTAGATAAATTAATTGAATAGTGTGTTAGTATATTTGTAGAGGGAAAGCACTAGATACCAAAAGGGCCTATGAACTAGGAAAGAATGGGGTAAAAGAAATTGTGGTTTGAAGTTGAAACAAGATGAGTTCAGATTGGAAGGAAGACCCACTCTTAAGTGAGAGTGGTAGTAATGTTTAACTTTCTGGCATGGGTGGTTGTGGATTCAGTCTCTAGATGTCCTCAGATCAAGAATGGACATCTTTCTGGAATATGCTTTAATGAAACACAAGTTATGGACTCAATGCAGAGGTAACTAGGTCAAATTTAATAATCTGTGATGCATAAGAGGTTAGGTTAGATGATCTTATGGTCCCTTTATGGCCTTAAACACTCTGGGCATTTTTACATGTGTTTTGGAGGTGGGAGCGCTTTCATTAGAGCAGGTCTGACAGCTGTTCTAATTAAAGTGCCCACAGTGTCTTGTGTATCAGGATCCCGTGCTTCAAAATAGCAGTGGGGGTGCTTTATCTAAAGCTGGTCAAATGAGCTTTTGTTAAAGTGTCCCCCCGCCATTTTGAAGCAAAAGATGCGGAGGCTGGATGGAGCATGCTAATTAGCATACTCCAGCAGACTCGATTAATTGAATTTGCTCTGATGCGCTGTAATTACACCGTGTCAGAGCAGCCTCCCAGACATGTACATACACCCTCTATTTGGAAGTTTGGGAGATGCTGGTTATAGCTACATTCTGTTAAAATGTTTCATGTGACTAGAAGTTAATATATTATCAAAAGAGATTTACTAGTGGAGTAGTGAAATTGTTTTTGTGAAATTGGGAGTTTTGTCATTGGCTTCAGTAGGGCTAAAATTTCACCCTATATATCAAGGAATTTATATTGTACCTTCCACTTGTGATATGTAAGTGCTTTCCAGCTGTTTTTAAAAATTTCATATAGTGATACTTCATATTTTTCACCTGCCAGTGTATACATTTATGCAGGCTATATTCCTGTTTGGTTTTTGATTGATTGATAGTTATTTAGTGACTCGTAGAAACAAGACAAATCCTTCTAATAGATGGCTTTGAGCTGCACCTGTACCAGTGGTTCTGGAAAGAAAGTCTTTGAAGAGAAATGTGCAATAAAGAATTACATTTCTCAGTAAATTAAGATAATATTTCTGTTTTATCAGATGTTTATCATCATAGCATGTATGACTGCAAATTAAACTTAATTAATTGTTTTTTACCTGACATTCCTCCAGTTATGTCATGCAACTTTCAGCTGCAACATAAAGGCTTCATTGCACAGAAGTAAGGTGTAATGCAGCAGCTACGTGAGTGAGCAGGATTAAGTTGGAATGCTAATCTGAATGATTTTTTTGAGGCTAACAATCTTCTCAGAGCTTATCATACTTTGTTACTACAGGCTAATTTAGATCCTTAAATTAGCAGCTACTTTAGGGAGAAATTTTCAGATGATCACTTTTATCACTTGAGTGTTTTAGTTGTATGTCATTTTAATCTCTAGAGATGTTCTTTCAAAATTACTGGAGATGGCTGCAAAAGCAGGCATTTACTGCTTTGAATTTCTACTTTTTCAGCAGAAAGAATTGATTTAGATAAAGCAGTTGTAAGGTGTAAGGACAATGGCTTTTATCCCGGAAGGTGAGTCCTGGTTGGCCGCGTTTACTTTAAAAAAAAAAAAAAAAAGAGAGGGTGGGAGGAGAGATGATCGTTATAATAGTATAGTTCATCTCTGATTAAACTGAGCTAAATTCAGCTGTCCTCTACAAAGATTAATTATATAAATTATAAAAACTGGACCAGAAAATTTTAAAGATTTATTCTTTTTGTATGCAATATTGTATATAGAGTCTACAGCTCCTCAAGCTAATACTTGCTTTAATGGCTTTGATTTTAAAAAAATTAAGTCATAATAGGATGTAGGGGTTTACTTTTCAACTATTTTTCTTGAAGGAGTTGAATTATTTTATGGAGGTTGAATGGCCAACTCCCTATGGGTACATACAAGCATTACATTTGGCTCTACCTAATGAAGGTGGATCCCCCCTCCTCCAAGTTACTTACTCTGTCTGCTCATGTCCCTCCCAACAGCGGCAAACATCTGCCAGCACTTTTCCCAGGTTGGGTTAGGGTAGCTTAAACTAAGCTACCTAAACCAGGGCACAAGCGTGTTCATTGCACATGTACTAGTCTACTGTTGAGAAACATAAAAATGAAATTAATAGCCACTGCCATGAGTATATAGATATATAGTGGGAATAGAATGGAAATGAGAGAAAATCTGATATTCAGAGAGACCAAGGAGGTTGCCTTGAATATTCATTCTTATTGGTATATATTATATAAATATGTTTATTTGGTTTTAAATGCACATACAAAAATATAATTTGACATTTCTAAATGGATAAATCTAAGCAGAACACAGCAATAAAAGATGTATTTATGGCAGAATGATCTCATATGTAGTAGCTTGCAGTGATGAATACCTTCAACTTTCTTCCTTAACATTTGCAATGAAATACATTCTCTGTGGTCTTCAGTACCAGAGAAATGGAGGCACCAGCAAAGTAAATGCACTTCTGAATGTGTACACTGTAGGTTGATGTTTTTGGAGCAGCCTATCCATCAATCAGTTGACAAGGAAACAATGAGGCCAATTACAGAGTAGCAATAGCAACACCCTAAAATCAATACTTTTAGTATTGGTGCATTTCACAAGTGTCTGCTGTTTACAGATTTGTGGCTTATTGTGACCTCTGCAAATCCATCTTCTAACCTTTGATAGGATTGTAATTACTGTAATTGTAAGGCAACATTACCTGTTTTATGAACTTTGTTAACAGAATTACAACAAATAAAGGTGACTGGTCATATCTGTCAGTAAAATTTCCAGCTGAATTAGGATATCCATTGTAAAGACTACTCAGAAGAATGTCAGATGTGGGTTGCTTAGCAAAAGTAACCTTCTAACAATGGTGGAGCTGCACATCATCAGGAAATCTCTAGAGTGATACCCATGCAGCATATTTTGTGGATACTTCTAAGACAGGAAGGTAATAAGTATTCAATTGATTTTCTAACCTGTTTTATTCTTATGTTTTCCTTCTGTAGGTGACAGTCATAGCTCTCCCAAAGAGGACACTCCTACTGGCAGCATGGATTCTCTTTCATCCCAGTCTCCTACGCCTGCAATCTCCAGCAGCCCTTCTGGGCCAGACAAAAATCATCTTATTTTGGATAGTGGCGACGGAGGGGAATGGGCAACCAATCAGTAAGTTATGCTGAATCAGTTGGTTTTGGAAAAAAATGCTCTGTTGCCTTAACACGAATATGTGTTCAAAAAATGTATTCCCCTCATCTTCTCCTAGTAGATGCACCCAAAGTGACTGTAGTTGAATGTACAGACTACATTGCTTTAACTAAGGAATCGCATAAATAAGTCCATAAAAAAGACTTTTGGTGTGGCTTTACATGACAAAAAGCAGTTCTATCATATTTTCTTACATACCACATGCTCCCGAATAAGGTGATCACCTTGTTTTTGGAAGGTGAAATGAGGGAAAAAAAAAGCTCTTTCCTTGAAAATATCAGTAAACATTTCCACAGATAGAACACAGGCTGCTGCAGTAAGCTGGGGGGAGGCAAACCTGTGGCTGCTCTGTTTAACCCATAGCTGCAGGATGTGGTAGGCATTGCTGGCTGCCCTCTGGAGAAGAAGAGGCCAGAGGCCAGGCAATTTGGTTCCTGCAGGGTCAGCCCTCAGCTGACTGGCCGGTACTTCCTGGCTCTGGTTTTTGAGCTGGGTGGGAAGGCAGCAAGCACTTGCTGAGTCATCTGAAACCTCACCCAGCTCACGAAGCAGGGCCAGGAAGTTTGGTTTAGCCCTAGCACCTGCTGAGTTAACTGAGGACCTGATCCTGCTTGAGCTGAACTGCCCGGCCCCTTCTTTGCCAGCCAGGTAGGTACTCAGCTGACTTGGTGGGCACCTCTAATGCCCAGCTGGATCAAGAAGAGGAGCTGGGCAGCATGCTCCCATGTGATCAGGCCCTCTGGTCCTTGCATTTCTTCATTTGAACCCCCGCCAAGTTCCCAGTAGCCAATTTTTGGGGAAAAGGTGTGTATGCTATGTGAGTAAATACAGTATATCAAATCACACACCAAATCACACTTTAGCTTCATCACATAGAGTCAAGATATTTTGCTTCTAGCAGTTTTATAATTTAGTGTTTTATTTAGGCACTGCATAGGTAAAAAAAATAATGTTATACATTGAATATTTTATTTCAAGTGACTTTCTAACCAGTGTATCTACCTATATGGCTAGCCCGAAGGTGTAGACAAAGTTTAACTTTGGCCAATACACTGTGTTTGAGATTTAGGAGCAAATTCTATCCTTGGGTATATACATACCAAGTGCACTAAAGTTGATCAGAGTTGAACGTTGCTAGTCAAGAGCAGAATTAGATGTCAATAGTGCATTAACATATAAGAATGCTTCCATACATTAAATTAAACTGCTGTGCAGTTTGTCACTTGGAATAGGCTTTGTAGCTCTTTAGTTAGGAAGCTTGATTCTAATTCAGTAAAAATGACATTGAGTTTTAGTACACCATGGCTCAATTCACAACACGTCCATGTCTGAAACATAAGGAGTTAGACATTTTTGATCATAAATCAAGCTCTGAGTGAATTCCCTAGTTCACTATTCCTACAAAATGTCATGAAAAACTCTCCAACCTTGAGTGCCAAGAAGGTGGATGAAGTAAGTCTGGAGAAAAGATTTTGCTTTTTTGTTACAGATATTTTCCATAATGGCATTTTGAATGGCCTGACCTGCGTGTGTGTGTGTGTATGCGCGCTCTTTCCATAAATAGCAATAGTGAGTGCTTATTGATTGTAATATTTTCCCCAAATACGGTGAAAGGACACTAGATTCACAATGATTTTTGCACAAATGCAATAATTTCTGGTTGAGAATTGTAATCTTTTATTTATTTATTTTTACCCTCTGCTATTATTCTGATTTAGGTTGGGTTTTTTTCTGTGAGCTAAAGGTGTGCATGTGCAAGTAACAGGCCCAATGAGAAAGAAGTAGTGTTTGTTAAAAGCAAATATTTGTGGCAAAATGAGTGCTGTGAATAATTAAAAAAAACCCCTCAGTAGTTATACAGATAGGGAGTGCTAATTGAGTAAATGTGTTTTAGTAAGCATTCATGGAATAGAGAAGGAAATGTTGGTTCTAGGCAGCGGCTCTGGTAAGTATTTGCCAGATCCGCTGGCTAGTTTCTTTGAAACAGAAATACAGTTCTCCACCCAGCTATAGCAACTAGGCTAGGCCATACAGAGCCTAGGGCAGATAAAAATGTAGGAGAATCTGGTTTCTCAAGTTTCTGCTGATGTTTCTAACTTCTGGGTATCATTTGTTGGCGATTAGTCTGTATGGAGCTGTTCAGTAACGTGAATTATAGATTCTTCTTGCTGCAGAACAATCACTTGCTTTGTTTCACTGGAGGATACTATATCTTAGGTCAAAAATTTTCAGGTGTACCAACATAATTTTCTATCTATCAAGTAGTTTCTCTACACAAATAGTCCTCAAGTACCTGTGATGGAGCACTCTAGCAAGCTGACATTTTATATTTTTTTAAACAAAAGAAACCCTGATTTCCCTTGAGAATCGCTGTTGTCACAGCATTTTTTGTAATGCATCTCACTTCCCTGCCCCACCTTTTAAAAAGTATGCCATGAATGTCATGTGAATATTTTGATCTGGCAGTTGATAGGCATAGAAGAAATCGGGTATTTCTATACTAAAGCTTATATACAATACACCTAGAAGCTGATGTTTCTATGTATACTTGCCAATATTTTCGGAACCTTACTGAACCGAACGTTATTGAGGTTCTTCTTTGAATATGTCAAGATGGTCCCTACTTTTACATGTTTGCATGCCTGAGATTTGGAGTTTTTGACTAGCAGTGTTTGCCGGAGCCATGCATGTCTCCTCTCCTTTCTTATTTCGGTGTGTGAGAGCAGAAAATTCCCTTGTCTCTGTTGGCAGTATGATATCACTCAGTAAAGGTACAACCAGCTATTCTCTCCAGTACGCCTATATGGATTTGGTTAAAGATAACATTTCTTTACCATGTGGAATAGGAGGTGTACAGAACAATATTTACCACCTCTTTCTTAGCAATCTCCTTTGCTATTGGATGAGGCAATGATATGAGAATCCACTCAGTGACTTTAAAAAGTTCCAGGACCCCTTGCCCAAAATGAGAGGGTCACAGAACACTGAAACTGCCTGTTTTAAAGGAAAAGTATAATAAATTGCCACTGTGAGTTGATATCACCAGCCCAAATTAATTTTTCCATTAACAAAAAGTCTAACTATCAGTCAAAGCGTCATGGCAGATACTTAGCCACTCTTCCATAAATCTCCAAACACACAGAGAATAGTAATTGGGCCCTACTTACTATTTATCTCCAAAAAAAACAAACCAAAACAAAAAAAAAAAAAGGCTTTCTGCACTTCTGTGCCCATTCTGACTCAGGTTCTTTGGTTGTCTCCACAGTGTAAGGAAAATCAGAGTTTCTACAAAGGGCACATCTAAGGACAGGGGCCCAAAGAACGCAGATTTGGTAGACTTCTTAGATTGCTGCATACACTTATTCTGAACAGGGTCCTAGTAGCTATCACATCTGCCAGAAGAGCAGGTTTCAGGAGTTTATAGCAGGATGAGGTGGTAGTGAGATCACAAAGAGTTCATTCATCAAAACCAGTTGATCAACCTGTCTTTCTGAGGCCATAATTGATTTTTTGGGAGGAAGAAAACTGTGCACACTAGATGTATTATATTCAATAGGACCAATCCGTTCCGGCCCCTCTGTCTGTTTGTAGCCACAGCCAGATATTCTAAAGGTCTTGCTGTCTCCTTACAAGGAATATCTAAAATTCCTAACACTACCAGTCTTACTGGGGGTGTACTTGTTCCACTAGACATCAAGACTCGTGCTACTAGAGCATAAACAACATCCTCTGCCTACTTCAGGAACTTGACAGTATCTGAAATCTGTAAACAACAAAGTGGAATGACCCACTGACCTTTATTACACTGCCTTGGACGTAGCTGCTAAGCCAGATGCCAAGTTTAGGAGAGCCGTACTACAATCACAGTTTGACTGATGCAGCTGCAGCTCCTCATTTCTGCCCTCCAGAAGGGATGCAGCTTGCAAGTCACCTACAACAGGATTCATAATGATGCACAGTGAGGGGTGGGGGAAGCAGCTGCTCTACAGTAATTGTGGTTTTTTTAGATGTCATAGAGCCAATAACCAGTCCTCTATCCCCTCTGAGTCTCTGGCAGCCGTTGGCTTTTGAACTGCAGTAGAACTGAGGGAGGGGCCCAGTTACCCTGCTCTTTATCCTTATACAGGAGCATAAGAGGGTACAGGGCATGAGAGCGCGCGGATAGTGCCACACGAGGCATATGTGAGGCTGATGTTATTACGGATCCAGCTATACATGTACATCATCTCTAAGGGTTGCAGTTAAGATGAAGAATTCACTCTCACAACATGCTGCAAAAAACCCCACAACTTGCATGTTTGTTGTGTTGCTCATAAATTATATCTAATCTCTTTTAAAATGTGTTGTCTTTTTAATTTAGAGTGGTTCTCTTTGTTTCTGTGCTACTAGCAGAATAAATACTCATCATTCTCCTCTCTTGTGGTAGTCATTTTTATTTTCTAGCACTTCTTCTCTTATGTCTCCCCTTTGCAAACTAATCTGACTCTAATTCCTTCCTGACAGTGGGCATATATTCTCTCCCACTCTATAATAGTAATGCCTTGCTATCTCTCTTTTTCTGTGTGCTGTTTTATATTGTTGCTCTCTGCAGACTCTGTGGAAACAGGCAACGTGCAGAAAGTCAGTGGCAGTAAACACTTTGTAGGGATGTTGCTGGAATCATCAGAGGTATGTTGAAGATATATGAGAGGAGAGTATAAACCTGGCAGGGAGAGAGTAAGGGGGAAAAATGAAAATGGGAATGAAAACCAGGAAGTAAAACAGTTGAAAACAATTGGAAATGAGCCATATAACAAAGACAAAAAGAGGGGTAAGAGGGGGAAGAGGACAAAACAATGCCATAGTAGACTATGAAAATTTAGAGACAAGGCTGTGTTGCCAAATTTTCAGAAAGGGAAGGGGTGCTGTAACAGCAATCAAAAGATGAGGAACCTTTTCCTCCATGGTTTGTCTGCACTGGG